ATATCTATAATGATCGGTGTCGGCCAATCAGCGCGCGGCTGACTGGAGATGATGCGCGCAACAGCAACCCGTAGCCTTATTATAGAAATAGTTTTACAATTAATTAGATTTATTGTTAGCATGATTCGTTATTGTTATTTATCATTTTATTTATTATTATTATTTACTTTTATTACTTATTCTAGGAAGAATGCTTACTACTATTGGTTATCTAATAATTTGCAACCTATGAGATTGCCTATTATTATAATACTTATATTCGTTATACTGTATATTTACTGGCGGTAAGGCGCAACACGTGGTATGTCGACGGCAGGAGAGCCGGTTATTGCCAACTTTGGCGGCTAGAATAGTGGCGCTTCTGCGCAGGTGGGATAAAAGGGGAAGGAAAAATTGTTACGTTGGCTCTCCTGACGTCACAAAGGAAAAATTTTACTCGTTGGCTCTCCTGACGTCACAGAATGTAGCCACGTCAGAGGCTTGTGGTCGGTGACCAGCTGGAATTTACGACCGTAAAGATACGGTCGAAAATAGTCGGAATAGTTTACGCAATAAACAATGCTCAAGAGTTCCTTCTCGATTGTTGAGTAGTTTTGCTCGGGTGAGCTCAACAGTCGAGAAGCGTAGGCTATAGGAAGATCTTTGCCTAATGGTCCCTGATTTAAAATACCGCCGATGGCGTGTTTCGAAGCGTCTTGTTACGTTGTTGTTACAACGAAAGGCTTCGTAAAATCGGGGTATTGCAATAATGGCTCGGAGCAAAAGGCCGCCCTTAGCGTTTCGAATGCGCGCTCCTGCGAGTCTTCCCATTGAAAACGTACTTCTTTTTTCAGCAAGTTGGTTAAAGGCTTAGCAGTTTTTTAGCAGAGAAATTTGGAATAAATCTACGATAGTAACAATAGGCCCAAAAACTGTTTAATATTCTTTGCCGTGCGCGGACGCGGGAAGTTTTTCACGGCATGTATTTTCTTTGGATCGAATTTTACCCCGTCCTCGCTAATTACGTGGCCCAGGTACGTGACTTCTCTCCGGAGGAACTCGCATTTGTCTGGCTGCAGGCGGAGTCTCGCGTTTCGCAGTCGGTCGGCCAAACGCTTGAATTTGATTTCGTGTTCTCGTAAGGAGCTGGCGTATATAACGATATCGTCTAAGTACACGAACATTTCCGTTCCTTGCAGCCCGGTCAGCACCTGGTCCATGAGTCACTGGAACGTCGCCGAGGCATTCTTCAGCGAACGCTTAAAATGATAATGCCCGAAGAGCATGGAAAAGCCGTCTTCGGTGCGTCCGACTCATGCATCGGTATCTGCTGAAAACCAGATGCGAGGTCGAAGACACTAAAGTATTTAGCGCTTTCCAGCTGGTCAAGTATTTCGGCTATATTAGGAAGGAGGTCTCCTATTGTCTTTTCGTTTAGCGCGCGGAAATCTATCACCATACGCCAACGCCGGTTTCCCTGAGAGTCGGGTTTTTTGGGCACGATCCACAGGGGTGAATTGTACGGCGAGTTCGTATGCTCGATAACATTATCTTCTAAAAGTTTATTTACTTGTTTGATAATTTCTTCCCTATGCATCGGCGGAAATCTGTATTGTTTTACATTCACCGGGGAGTTGTCCGTCATTGCGATGGTGTGAGAAGTTGCGTTGATGTGACCCAGCGGGTCTGCGGGGAGTTGAAAAAGGTCGGCGTTATTTTCCACGAGAGCGTTAACGTGCTCCGCCTCTATGGCGCTGAGGTGGTCTAATCTAAGTAAGTCGCAGACCAAGGCAGCCCTATCGGTTTCGCGCGGTGCTTCTTCTGATCGAGACGTAGTGACGCAGTTGACGGCGCGGCGCTTCTGCGCGGGTTTCGACGCGATTAATTCGATTTCTTCTAACTGAACTGTGGAGACAGCAATTTCGCGGTCTGACTCTGTTGTGTTTACGATTTGCGCGTACGCTTTTCCTTCTCTGTTTGTAACAATCGTTTCCCCCAAGAAGATCCCCTCTCCGACGCTAAGTTGCGGGAGGTATCCGACTTCAGTCTCGGTATTAGACACATTCACGTAAAAGGCGGCCCATGAGCGCGCGGGCACGTGAAGCTTCCCTGGATGCGCAAAAGGTAGTTTAATTCGCTCCCGCCACTCGACCGTTTCACGACCGAAATCGATAGTGGCGTCATCGCGGAGGAAGTCGGATCCTAAAATCCTTTCCTGTGCGATGGGGAAGTTATCAGGAACGGTGTGTAGATTTATTTTATGCCCTTTGAACTGAATTTCTACAGACCCTAGGGTCTCTATTTGCTCATTCGTGATTCCTGTAAGGTGGATTGTATCGTCCCTCGCGATGGGGGTATCTAGGTATAGAGATCGTTTCTTGATGAGGTTAAGCGCGGCTCCCGTGTCGACCATGAAGTTGGTCGGTCCCACTAAACCGCCGGTTCTCATAATGGTATGTTGATCGCGTTTCTTCGCGGCGTTCCGGGGCATTCGGGGCGCAGTGAGTAGTTCCGCTCTCGACCCCTGTATTCATCAAAGCGGGGGTGAGTGCGTCGTCTTCCCGGCGGTGACGCCGGTCTGTAACGCGAGTTGCGCCATGCGTTTGGCTCGGGTGAGCGTCGGGGGGTGTTGGGCGGTCGTTGCGGCGGCGGTTGTCCTAGCCGCGCGGGCAGACTGTAACATTGCCGTTTAATTTCATCGCGCTTCGCGATTATTTTGGCAGCTGCGAATGCTTCGAAGGGCGCGTGGTAGTACTCCGGCTGCAGCTGCAGACGATACGGCGTGGATAACCCCTCACAGAAACACTGCGCTGTAATCTCGTCTATTTCTTGGGTAATAGCAGGGTTTAAGATACCGCGAGCGCGTCGTTGCCCGTCTCTTATCGCGGACCTAATCTCTTTGACGCGGTCTATATAGTCCAGGATATGCTCGTTCGGTCGAAGGTGCACGGCGATTAGTTCTCCCCGATACTGGACTACGCTCTTGACCGACCCGAAGACACTATTAAGCAAGTCAGAGAGTTGAGTCACCGTATCGGAAGGTTCGTCGGCGACCGCGGAAATGAGCATGCCCTCGTAATTTGGTCATTAATAGTCGCGTGAGGGACTTTTCGTAATGCGGGGGCAATATATCGCGAGCTTGCCTACACGCTCCGAGAAACTTCGACAATGAAATATTGTACCCATCGAAAATTGGCACATACTCGGTTGCCTCTCGATAGGTAATTTTGGATACCGCGAGGGTATCCAAAATTACCTATCGAGAAGGGTATGCCTCGATGTTTGAATCGTTGTGGTCTCCGAACAGCGGAGAGGTCTCGCCGAACGGCTGGCCCAGTGGGATGCTAGGACTTCGCAGGGGCGGGTCGCGGCGCGTGTCCATCTCACGCCGCATATTGTGTAATTCGGCGAGCAGCGACGCTAGCATGTCGCCCATTTCACGCATAGTCGCCCGATTCTCCTCGATGTTGGCGCGGTCTCGCTGCATCGCGGCATTCTCTGCGCGGGTTTTCTCTCTTTCTCTGTTTAACGCATCGATTTCGGCGGCTAACTACGCGGCGCGTTCCTCCTGCGTGGCGCGAATCCGCTTTAACTCCTCTTCGGTAAGAGGCTTTTTAGGATTTTGACGCGTATTCATATTACCGTCCTTCTCTTTTACAGGCGTGCGTAACATATGAGACTAACGTTACGATGCGAAAAGTGGTGTAGGTCGATGAGATATGCCGAAATGTTCGACTCTCCCGATTAACAGCATCCCACCGCTGTCACCAAAAATATGTCACGTCGCGGGCGGTGTTGCCAAGCAAATCACCACGTGGCACCGGACAAAGGCGGGAATACGCTCGCCTCTCGGCAACGCTGCCAGTAATCGAGCGGCAAATCACCAGCAGCGGTTCGGAAGAGTTAAGGAGTATTAACGTACGAATCCCTGATCACTAGAATAAACGTGCGATTGAGCAGCAGGGAATCTAATTCTTAGTATTAGCG